GTGGGGGCCTCGGACACGCAGCTCCCAGGTCTCTTGAATTTCATGCGTCCTCTTCCCGTCCATGGGTCCCCATAATGGAGCGCTTGGTTCACCTCCTCCTGCCCCAAACCCTCTGAAGAGAACTGTTTCCATAATTGACTGGGAAGCGAGCATTCAAGCACACATTTTATTTTTCGTACAATGTGCCCATCAACTTTTTAGGTTCAATAGCTTGGCAGCCTTCCCGGTAGGGCCTCCTGGCCCCCTGGGAGGCCCTGGGCCCTCAGGCTCCCTGCGGGCTGCACCCGGGCCGCCTGCTGACGTGGAGCAGAGGGTCTCCCCACAGGCTGGTGGGGGCTCAGGATAGAGCGTGCTCCCTCGCTGAAGCTCGAGGACGTCTGCAGCTGCTCCCGGGCCGTCTGTCCAGCGCGGATGCAATCGCAGGGGTTTCATCTTTGGCAGCTAGCCCGGCGCGGGGTGGCATCCCACACAAAGCACAGGCACGCTGCCCCTGACCAGCGTGACCAAGCGCACAGCCTGAGGCCTCGCTCAAGGCCAGCTGCAGACTCCCCGAGGTTCAGGAGCAGGGACGCCCCCTGCTGGGCAGCTTGGGAGCAGTCCCAGGGACAGCTTTCTCCACTCCAGGGGTCAGGCCACTTTAGTGCTCCCCAATACTGATCACCAAGGTCGCTGAACCCAGGGCTGCCCCCATCTGAAAGGACAGGCCCTCTCCCCCCGGGAGGTCCAGCTCGCTCAGCCTTCCTGCGCCCGCCGGGGGTAAGCCAGGGCGGGGAGGGTGGAGCAAACAACTGCTGGGGACACGTGGTCAGGTTTATTTGGGTCAGTGGCCAGTTAGCAATCCCCTGCAGCCAAAAACAGGCCCTAGATCCTACTTACCACCCCACCACTGCTCCTGCCCCTGGACCCCTCCCCAGGCCCCCTGGATTCTTCAGCTCAGCCAGCCAGCCAGACCTGGGCATTCACTAGGGCAGCATGGACATGGGGGTCCTCGGAACCCCCCCTTCCTTCCCTCCCGCCTCACATCCCTCCTCCTTGTCCTGTCTCCTGGGGCTGTTACTCTCCCCGGAGCAGCGGCTCTCGGTCCCCCTCCTGCAGCCTCTCCTCCTCCTCCTTCTCCATGCAGCCCAAGGTGGCAGCCAGCCCAGCGCCCACGCCACC